CGTGCGGCCACATCGCTTCTCTCCCCTCCGGCCTCTGCACAGGCTGTGCCCGTGCTGGGCACTCTTCCCAGCCGTCACCTGGCCGGCTCCTGCTTCTCTTCTTCAGGCCTTGGCTTCAATGCCATGTCCTGGGGGACCCCCTGAGCCCCAGGCCTGGCCCTCACCCTCCCACAGGTGCACATTAGAGCCCTGTGATGCCCGGTCCCACAGTCAGGCCCCCCAGCTCACTCACCTTGTTCCCGGGCTACTCAGCTCCAAGCTGTGCCTGGAAGGAGTTCCTCTCAGGGTTGAAATGAAATCCTGGCATGTCCCAGCTAGAGGCACCTTAGGAATCCCTAATTCATTCCACACACAGGCATGGAGCTCCCCCTCTGGCCAGCCCCCGCCCCAGGCTCTGGGAAGAGACCCAGGCCCCGCCCTCCCCCAGGGCAGCAAACAACAAGCCAACAATCACTGAGAGACCCAGCTGTGGAGAGGGCTGTGGAGGAATGCAGGGGTCCTCAAACTACAGCCCCGCGGGCCACATGCAAATACAAACATTGTATTTGTTCCCGTTTCGTTTTTTTTTACTTCAAAATAAGATATGTGCAGTGTGCATAGGAATTTGTTCATAGTATTTTTTAAACTATAGTCCGGCCCTCCAACGGTCTGAGGGACAGTGAACTGGCCCCTGTTTACAAAGTTTGAGGACCCCTGCATTAGAGCATCAGAGAAGGGCCCACCCTGTTTGAGCGAAGGCCAGAGAGGTCGCCTTCCTGTGATCACCCAGAGGCGCTGTGGGGACAGCGGGAGGGGCCTGCAGACTGGCTCAGGGCCCCTCGAATAGACTTCACCCTCTGCTGTCACCATCTAGAAATTCTTTGTTGAACAAAGGACTCTGCGTTTTCCTTTGCCCTGGGCCTCACAAATTCTGTAGCCAGTCCTGCCTGCAACTCCCCTCCCATCAGGCCTGTGGGGGCCCCGGGACTTCCGGCATCCATGGGAACTGTCCCCCAGGCCAACGCCAGCCTCTTGCTGACCCCTCCCGGGTTCCTGGGGTCAGCCCTCTGGGAGGGAGAGAACGGAGGGGATCCAATCCCGACACTAGGGCTCAGCGGTCAGCAGCAAGGGTAAGACGCAGGTCCTGCCAAGTCTGCATCCTAGTCCAAGAAGGAGGGCTCTGCTGGCTGTAACTATCTTGGGGGGCTCCTCCTCCTGGGGGTCCCTCCTTGGGAATTCTGGAGGATGCCTGGCCTCGGTGAGCTCTGCGGTCCCCGAGTGGCCACCATCTGGCCTCAGCCTGTGCAGTCCCCCTGTCCTTGGGTGAGGAAGAAGCTGCCCACGATGATAGGGAAGAAGTGTGTCTATTTTTAACTTCCTATCTCTGTCCAGCTCCCAGGGGCCTGGACCCTTGGCTCTGGGGCAGGAGAGCCTGTACCAGGTTTCAGGCCTCACCTCTGGCCTTATTTCCCAGGTAATTCAACCGGCTGAAACATAGCCACATTGCCAAGGCACTGAGCACTGGCACAGGTCGAGTAAAGGAACCTTAGACGCAGGGCAGGCGAGCAGGGCTCCACTTAGATGGGGTGGGTAGGTGTCCCCCACCCCCACCCCTGCTCTGGCACCTGAAACCCCTTTGACTCTGGACAGGGCTTTTAGCCCCACAATCAAAGAGTTCACTTGAAGAAGAAATCTGGTGGGGGAACTTTACACTAAGGTGTGAATGGTTGCTATAACTAAGCCTTATATAATAAGGTGGGGGGACAAGAGGAGGCCAGGCCCTGACACTGTCCCATTCTTTCCTGACTGACAGGCAGGGCTGCTCTTACCCCTTCCCCTCGTCAGCCAGGCCTCCCTCCTCTAGGCTGTCAGGCAGGTACCCTCCTGAGCCAGGAGCCCCTGCAATGCCCTCACCAACTTGGGAATTCCTCTGTTGGGACGGCTGGGACGTGTGGCTGGGATAGCTCGGCAGCGCCCGTGATTTTCAAGGAGCGGAGCTGGAGAGAGGACAGCGGAGGCGCTCACACTGTCCTGTGCGTGTGGAGCCAGAGACTTCGGGGACCTCAGAGAGTGTGTCAGGAGAAACGGGCCAGTACACGTGCAGCCCGAGAGCAGTATGACCTTTGCGAGCACCAAGCGCGTGTTTGTCATCATCCCCGCCCGTCTGGCACCGCTGGACACGGGAGAAAAGGCAGCTGACACTGTTGTCACATTGAGGTGGGCTGGGCCCTGCCTGCCTGCAGAGCCTGCCTCTGTAGCCGCCATGCACCAGGGCCTCCGACGAAGTATTTCCTCACCACAGCAGGCAGGACTGCCCCTGGCCTCACGTGAGGGCTGGGGCAATGGGTTGCATGTGCCCGTCTGGAACCTGTCTGGCTTGCCAGGGGCTGTTTAATATTTACTGTGTCCGCCCAGAGCTGGCGAAACATCCGCCCCAGAGGGCGCTCCCTGCCCCGGCCGTTGTGACACCGGCCAGACATGCAGCCCAGTTTCGCCATCCGGAGGCTGCACACGCATCGCCTTCCCGGCTGGGCCAGCCCTCGGAGCGCTGGGCTCAGAGCGTCCCTGGGAGCGGGCGCTTCCAGGCACAGCCACAGCAGCCAGGGTGAGGAGGCCTCCAGGTAGATGGAAGGGGGGCCTGGCGGAGGGCGCACACCTGCCAGGGGCGGTGGGCCCCTGGGCGCTGGCGGGTGAGCGTGGCTCCCACCTCAAAGCTGCTGGCCCACCTGCCTGCCTGCCACCTGCGGGGACCCTAGCCTGTCCGGAACCCGCCTCTCTGAGGCTGCAGCCCTGCCCATCTCTACGGCCTGGAGATGGCAACTTTGTGGAGGGTCCGTTCCAAGAGGTGGGTGATGTGGCCTCGGGGAGGGGAGGGAGGAGGGTGCACAGCCCCTTCTTGGCCTTTGGGAAGTGTCACTTGTCACAGGTGGAGACCGGCCACAGCAGGGACAGGGATGAGCACTAATGTAACAGGCTTTGTGCCCGGTGCTCTGTGCACGAACCTCACTCCAGCATCACCTGATTGGAGGGGCCTTCCCGGCTTGTCCCACTTCAACTCATTCTCCTGCCTTTATTCTTCCCCTGGGCACTAAGCACTCTCTGACACATGATTTTAAAAATGATCTTACTTAACTTGGGCACATACATAGCACTTCTTGCCGGGCACTGCTTGAAGCCCTTTACACTTATTAACTCATGCAACTCTCATGGCAATCCTTCCTCTGGTTCCCATTTTATAGCTGAGAAAACTGAGGCACAGAGAGGTTCAATAACCTACCCAAGGCCACACAGGCCCTGGTGCCTGTCTCTGGAGCCTGCCCTTGTTACCACTTCCCACCATGTCCCCCAGCTGGCTCAGCAGCTCACAGGGAAAGGGGTTAGCCTGTGTTGGTCACTGTTGTACCTCCACCCCCTAAAGTGGTGCCTGGTACGCAATAGGTGCCTATTTAAATATTTGTTGAATGAATGGCTGCCTCATAACTCGGTGGGGAGGAACTCTTATTGTCCCCCTTTGACAGATGGGGAAACTGCGGCTCTAGTTCAATATCTGTGACCTCTGGGGCTGGGATTGAATATGGGCAGCTGACCAGGGGCATGGGTCCTACCAGCTTGTCAAGGCCCCTGAGGGTCCAGGGCGGGATTCCAGACCCTTCCTTGCTGTAGCATCCTCCGAGACCAGGTCTCAGCGTGCCGGGCAGGGCCCAGGGTCTGTATCTCTGGCATGTTGGTGTGTAGATGCAGCCGGAGGGAAACCATAGGGCTTGGGGCTTGGTCCCTGTCAGCAGGGTGGCCAGGGCAGCTGTTCTCTGTTGAGTCAACAGCAGGTGTCTGTGTCTGTGCATGGAATGTGCAGCATCTGGCTGGGCTGGAAATACAGCCCGGTCGCCTGCTGAGTCTCTGGGGGACCAGGGCATGGCGGGCCCAGTGGCCCTTCTCTTAGGCCTGGTGAAGGAGCCTGAGCTGTGTTCCTCTTGCCCCCACCCCCCCCCCCGCCTCCACCTGGGTCTCCAGACCTCCATCCCCCTCTCCCGTGGACTGTGAGCCCGAGGGTGGGGTGCTGGACCGCACCGGGGGAAAGTTCTGCTCTGTGAGTGTTTGAATGAATGAATTAGTCCCGAGCCCCTGATTTTAGACTTAAAAATGCAGTAGACGGTGAAGACTCCCAGGGAGACATGGAGCTAGGTTGCTAACAAAGGATGTCTCCCAAGTGAGGCAGAAACAGTGAAAACCCTAAGACTGTGCTCCTCAAAGTGTGGTCCATGGGCCGGCCAGCAGCATCAGAAACACATGAAAATGCAAATCCTCAGGCCCAGACTGTTAAACCCGAAACTCTGGTGGGGTGGGGGGCAAGGGCGGTCAGCAGCCTGAGCCTCAGTCCTCCTGGGGAATCTGAGGACCTGAGAACCCCGTGTCCGCTCCCAGCTGTGTGGGTCAGCCCAGGCTGAGGCTCTGCATGCATTTGGGTTTGGGTCCCAGCTCTGCCACAGAGTTGTTGGCCAGGCTTGGTTCCCATCCTCTCCCTGGGCTAGGGGAGAGGAATATATTGGCTAACCCACGCTAGGGCATGGGCTTGTCTCCAAATGCCCATGTATGCGTGTTCATGTGCATGTGTGTGTACACACATGTGTGTGTTGATTTGTCAGGCCACCTCCTTCTATGAATAAAGAGCAGGGCTGGGGAGGTTACCCAAAGGAAAATCGAGGTGCTATTAACAGAGGGAGGTGATGGATGCTGGGCAGGCAAAGCCAATAGGTGCCCACCCATGGGCGCACCACAGGACTATGAATTGGCCTTCAATGTAGCTTTGCCTGCATTGGCCAAGCATGCTGAACAGAGAGCACTGCGTTTGGGCTGCTTGATTGTATTCTCATTGTAAGATAATTTCTCCTATCAGGTTATTATTATTAGTAGTAGTAGTATTCTTTTAATCCTAAAATCCAAAACCTTATTTTATAGATGAGGATATTTAGGCCCAGAGAGTCTTAGCAACTTTCCTGAGACCATGCAGCTTGGTGGCAATGGAGTGGACTCACCTCTGGCCGCTGTTCCCCAAGTGTCTGCCCCGGGAAAGACTTTGTCCAGACTCCTGCTCTGACCCCCGCCCCCATTTCTTCTCACAGAAAGTCCATCCAAAGGAACTCGGTGAGGTCTCGCCTACCTGCCAAACCCTCCAAGATGTACGGCACGCTGCGGAAGGGGTCTGTTTGCCCGGACGCCAAGACACAGCAAGTGAGGAAGATCTTCGAAGCGCTGAGGAGAGGCCTCAAGTAAGGACGGGCTGTGTGTGGCCTTCACACAGTGGGCTCTTTGGCCTTTGGCCTGCTTGCTCCTCTCTGCCTCTCCCTGGGAACGTGGTCAGGTCTTGTCTGTAAGAGGCCACACGGGGGGCTCCTGGTTATTCGTTTAGATGGGAAGCAACGTTTCCAGGATCCCAGGGCCAGGAAGCAGGGATTGGGCCTCCAGGGCAACACCACCCAGGAGGCCTCCCTTGCCCTCCTCCCAGGATGCACCGGTGCTGGTGCAGTGGGAGCTGGGTTTGTGCTGGAGGAGGGACGCCCGTCTCCAAGGTGCTCACCTCCCAGGGCAGCTTCTGGACCACCCCGTGTGAGATTGTCTGGGCAGGATTGATCCCGTTTTCCCGAGGAGCCCAGACTCTGGTGAGCAGCGCCTGTAGATAGAAGTGTCACCGGCGACACTATGATGGAGCCCCACCCCAGCTCTGAAGGCCAAACATCAGGTTTCCTGTCCAGACCCTTTGACCGGAAAACACATGAGATGATCCCTCCCAGCCTGTGGCTTTCTCTGTGCTTTCCAGAATGGGTTCCCAGGCCCTGCTCTGGGGCTTGGCCCTGGGCATGCAGACAGCAGGGCTACCGCCCTTGTCAACGAGGGAGGCGTGCTCTCGCTGACCTCCCTGGGACTGTCCTCCAGAGAGATGCCTCATTCCCGACCTGGGTTCTGCCCTTTCCCTGCAGTGTGACCCTCGCCGGGTTACCTGCAGTCTCTGAGGGTCAGTTTGCCCACCTCTAAGATGGCTTTAACCAGAGCAGAACCTGCTTGTGGGGTTGTTTGGGGAATTAACAGAGATGCTCCTCATATTTCGCAGTGCCGGGCACGTGGTCCACTATGTGTGGGATCTGGAGGCCCAGCGGGTGGGGCCAGGCTTCCGGGTGGGTGGGGCGGCTCTGCCCTCTGCCTTCTGCCCTCTGCCCTCTGAGCCGGCTGAGAGAACCACAGCTGTCTCCACATGGCAGCTGTGGCTGCCTGCACAGCGGGACACCGGTCATCGACCTGTTTTTCTTTCTCTTCTTGTTCGTTTTCCAACTCCTTTCCCTTGTTCCCTTGCAGAGAGCACCTGTGCGTCCAGCAGGCCGAGCTGGATTACCTGTCAGGGCGCCACAAGGACACCCACAGGAATTCCCGGCTGGTGAGACCCCCCCGCCTTCCCACTGGGCAGCCTTGGCGGGGCTTCAAAGATGGGCCCTCCCCCACCCCTGGCCTGCACCACGGGTGCAAGTCTCGGGAAGTCAGAGCCCCGAGGAATGGACTTGCTCTACATTGGGATGAATTTAACCCCAGGGGCTGGTGGGAAGCACCCCCTCCCTGCCCAACAGGATGCAGCGTTCACGCATTGGAGGCCCCACTCGATTCCCTCTTTGGTTCTAGCAGTAATGGAGGCAGGTGGGTGTGAGGGGTGTGCGTCTGAGAGGCCCTATCTTACAGCCCGGGGCCATCGGGCGCCCTGCACTCAGGGTGGCTTATGTGATGCCAAGAAATTGGGCTGGGCATCGAATCGAGGGCCTGTCACAGGCCCGGTGCTGTCCTGCTGCCCAGAGCCTCTGTTGTTTTCAGCCACCTTGAGGGCTGTGGCCTAGAGGCTGCCCTGGGGCCTTCCAGCCCAAGACTCATCTGCTCTGGGCTTTTGCTACCATTTCCCCCTTAGCAGAGTCAGATTTAGAAACAAACACACACACGTACCCCTCCCCCCACACCCCACACAATCAAGAGAAAAAAATAGTATCCCAGTTAAATAGGATTTTTAGATAATCATCGAATAATTTTTCAGTGTAAGTATGTCCTATGCATCTTTGGGACATACTTATACTTTAAGAAATTATTCATTGCTTATTAGAACTATAAATGTCACTCGTTGTCCGATATTTTATTTCTCACTGGAGGACATTTTTCCATTGATTTTAGAGAGAATAGAAGGGAAGGAGGGCGAGGGAGGGAGGGAGAGAGAGAAACATCGATGTGAGAGAGCCACATCAATTGGTTGCCTCCCACACATGCCCCAACTGAGACGGGAAACCTGCAACCTAGGTACATGCCCTTGACTGGCATCCGGAATTGAGCCCAATCCTTGGGTTTGAAGGCCAGTGCTCTAACCACTGGGAGACAACAGCTCATGCTGTCAGGCTCCACCCCTCAGGACCACCATCCTCCCAGCGGGAGGCTCTTTCTTTCTGGCCTTGAGAAGTCCCCACCCCCACTTCTCTCCCCACCCTTCTATCCTAATGGGATTAGAAACAAAAGCCGGGAGGCCTCGCTGCCTGTGGGCTCCTGCGACCTGCCAGCTGCTTTCCAGCCTCCCTCCTGCACAGGCCAGAGCAGAGCAGGGGTTGGAAAATAGGAAGGGAAGGCGAACCTTTCCATCAACAGTGGCCCCTCTGTATCCCAGCTCCAGCTCAGCAGACCTTGGGGGTCGGGAGTGTGCCAGCCACTTTGGGGAGGGAAAGATGGGCCCCTCAGTCAGCTCTTGCCCTTGGGGGCAGGCAGGCCATGCAGATGCAGGAAGGAGGCATTAGCAAGATCCCACCCGTTCCCAGACCTTCCCAGCACCCACTGCACCCTCTCCCGTGGATGCAGAGGTTTGCCCACCCCGGTGACAAATTCCTTTCATTGGTGACACCCGGCCCCTGGCGTGGATGGATGGACCCGTCTGGGTCTGTCATTTCCTAAGGCCTGAACCGGTGGTACTGGCTGCCTCTCCTGACTCCCAATTCTTCTGATCATGGCTGAAGTTACTCCTTAAACAGTCACATCGCCACGGTCCCCACTCTGTTGAGTGCTTACTGCGTCTTTTACTCCTCTTAGCAAGCCGAGGGGTAGCTATGGCTTTCCTGTTTATGTGAGGAAATAGAGGCTCAGAGAGGTTGAGTAACTTGCCTGGGATACAGAGCCAGGGTTAGAACTGCCTCACCCAGAGCACACGAGTCTAATCCCTCTTCTTCCTCCGCCTGGACCACGGGCCTCAGAGGGTGGAGCGGCTCCTGGCTTTCTGTCCTCTGAGCTCAGGCACCCCCAGGAGGTAGTAGCCTCATGGATCCTGGGGGAGCATCCAGAGCCCTGACACCTTCCCCTCCCCCTTTGCTCCCCCACAGGCTTTCTATTACGACCTTGACAAGGTGAGTGAAACTGCCTCCATCAGCATGTGGTGAACAGGCGGCTATGGCTAGGCCTGGCTGGGTGAGCATAGTGTCTTTGCTCCCCCGACTCCGTCCTATGGTCATCCTCTAGAAGAAGCACCTGGGGTCCTCCCCATTTTACAAATGGGGAAACTGAGGCCCAGCAATGAGCCTTCCTCGAGGGCGGTGAGGGGCTGGCCTGGCTTGGAGCCCAGTTCTCCGTGCTAGGGCCTGCAGGAGGGTGGCGCAAGCTGGTGGGGGGTCCAGGCTGCTTTTAACGCATCTTCTCTTTTCCTGGGAGAAGCAAACGCGCTCTGTGGAGAGGCACATTCGGAAGATGGAATTCCACATCAGCAAGGTCAGCTGGGGCCGGGTATCAGGGTGGGGCTGGGTGGTTGTTCTTGCTGGGCCCCCAGCAGACAGCAGGAGCCAGGAGGCCCCTCCGAGCGGGGCGGGGTCCCTAGGTGCTGGGAGGCTGGAGGAGCCGAGGAGGAGCAGGAACTGCAGGCGCTGGGCCCAGGAGGACCTGGAGCTCAATCGGAGAGGCTGGGAGGCTGAGACCACGGGCCCACCATGGAGATGGGAGATGGACGCTCAGAGAGGGACAAGCATTGCCCACGGTCTCACAGCGAGCCCTGCAGGGTCTGACGTCCATGAATTCTTCCATGCTCTTGCTTTACACCCCCGCGCCCCCTCCAGTAGCCCAGTGGGTGGCAGAATATTACCTCCCTGTTTACTGTTGAAAACTTGGGCAGGGAGAGGGAAGGGCTGCAGTTACCTGTCCAGGTCACTCCTTTCCACTGTGCACTGACCGCACGCCAGCTACTGCCGAGGGCGGGGATACAAGTGGATGAGACATGGTTCCTGTCCCCGTGGGAGCTATGGGAGCCGGGGGCAAGTGCAGGGTGTGACCACATTCGGGGCTGGATGGGGGCATTCACTCAGGGGCAGCCTCTCCCAGAGGGTGAGAGTGACCGGCAGGCCGGGGCCCCTGCCCCTCAGCGTGGGCAGCACCCACCGCCCTGTGCCCCCGCAGGTGGATGAGCTCTACGAGGGCTACTGCATCCAGTGCCGCCTGCGAGACGGCGCCTCCAACATGCAGCAGGCCTTCTCCAGGTGCCCCCCCAGCCGCGCCTCCCGAGAGAGCCTGCAGGAGCTGGGCCGGAGCCTGCAGGAGTGCACCGAGGTGGGCCGCCAGCAGGGGCGCCAGAGGGCAGTGGGGGGCCAGGCCCCGCATTAGGGGGGTGCTCTGGGCCCGGAGGAAGCTCTGCCCGGCAGGGTCTGTGGTGCCCCTCCGCCCTGCCCTCCGCCCCGCTCCAGCCCACTCCTCTCACCCCCACCCTGGCTCAGCCTCGGGGCAGGTGCTGAGCCATCCCGTGGGGCTTTGCAGGACATGTGGCTCATAGAGGGGGCCCTGGAAGTCCACTTGGGCGAGTTCCACGTCAGGATGAAAGGTAACAGGGCTGAGGGGGTGGGCAGCAGCCCCTTCGAGTGGGTGTCAGGCTTCTTGAGGGCCCTGGGACTTCTGCCAAGCGGGGTGTGGGTCAGAATTCAGGGGTCCTCGCCCAGCCCTGGGCTTGCACTCCTGTGACATGACCTCAGGCAGGTCCCGCCCCTTCTCTGAGTTGGATGTGAGGGTCCAGGCCTGTCCACTGTCCATCATGATGGCTCATCTCTGAGTCTGATTACCAGACTCAGGCGGGGGAGGGGCTGTGACCCACGGAGCAGGGGCAGCGGAGGACAGAGCTCAGCGCATCTCTGTGTTCCAGGCTTGGTGGGCTACGCACGCCTCTGTCCAGGAGACCAGTATGAGGTATGGCCACCCTCCGGGGTTCCTGCCAGGCCTTGGGGTCCCAGGGCTCCACCTGGCAGGGAGGGCCCCCATGCAGGTGGCAAGTGGGGGCATCCACCGGGGCAGCTGACCCACCCCTTCATGGCCCTCGCCCACAGGTGCTCATGCGCCTGGGCCGCCAGCGCTGGAAGCTGAAGGGCCGAATTGAGTCTGACGACAGCCAGACCTGGGACGAGGAGGAGAAGGCCTTCATCCCCACCCTGCACGAGAACTTGGAGATCAAGGTGGGTGGGGCCTAGGGGCAGGGGCATGGCCAGGGCCTGTGGGGGCGCTCAGCTCAGACACCACCCACAACTCCTCACCCCCAGGTGACAGAGCTGCGTGGCCTGAGCTCCCTGGCGGTGGGCACCGTGACGTGTGACATCGCCGACTTCTTCACGACCCGGCCGCAGGTGGTGGTCGTGGACATCACCGAGCTGGGCACCATCAAACTGCAGCTGGAGGTGCTGTGGAAGTGAGTAGGGGCCAGCCCGGCTCCCGGCCCTGCTGCCCCTCCCCAGGGCCAGCCCCAAATTTCCACCTGGAGGGACGCTCACCCAGAGCCTGAGCCAGATGAGTCTCGGTGGCTCCCCCTGGTGGCCTGACCACACTCTAGCATCCACTTTGTGCTGCGCCAGCACAGCCAAGGGTGACCCTGAGTGGGAGCAGCTGAAAGGCTTAGAAAAGACAGACAAGAGAATGATATCTGGGTCTAGGTGGGATGCTGCTTCTCTGAGAGACAGCGACCATGCCCACAAGCCATGTCTTTATTTTATAGCAGATGCCATGAGGCAAAGTAAGGGCATGACCAAGATGTTTACAACATTCTCCTGGGTTTCAATCCTACTCAATTACATGCACCTGAACTCTGTCAAGCCCACATCACTCAGGCACGTGGGGCCTCGTGTTTGGACCATAGGTTCAAGCTTACGACTACAGCTGTTGGCTATAATTGTGCTGGGAGGGCTCTGCCCTCCAAGCTGGGACTTGCACGTGGCCATGAGAGGACTGTGCCCTCTCATTAGTCCGAGGCTTGAACCTGTCCAAAGACAGTGGCTCCTCACATCCACTCGTGGGCATTTCTGCCTGCATCTCCCAGGACCTGCCCACAGTGCCTGAGTCATGGGCCCTGGTGGTCGGGCTGGGCCCCAGACACCTCTAGCCAGGCCTCTGTGCAAATGAGAGCGAGCAAGTCGCTTCGTGCCGGGAGGCTGTACCCAGACCTCCTTGCTCCAGGAGCAGGGTTGGCGAGGCCTTGGGCCCCCGGCCTTACCTGTGGCTGGGACTGACCCAGAGGACCCTTCTGGGATGGTTCCCTGTACGGAGGAGGGGTCCATTCACGAGTGGTGGCCAGTCACTGCCCCTTGCCATCGGGCTAAGGGCCCGCAGGGTGGTGGGTGTCTGAGAGACGGTTAAGAAGGTTGAGAACGTGGACCTGGAGTCCCCGGGCTTCACCTGGGCTCCCGGGCAAGGCCTCCATCTCCCCTTCGGTCCCCTGGCCCTGGACAGGCTGAGTGTCCTCTGGGCACCAGTGACACCCTGGCCGCTGCTCTCTCCTCCAGCCCGTTTGATACTGAGAGCTTCCTGGTGTCACCCAGCCCCACAATCAAGTTCTCTGTGGGCAGCAGGAAGGGCTCCTTGTACAACTGGACACCCCCGAGCACCCCCAGCTTCCGGGAGAGGTACTACCTGGTGAGTGGGCCTTGCTGGGGCAGGGCCGCTGAGGTCCTGCTGGGACTGGTGGGGTGGGGGGGTGACTTCCCCGGGGCAGCATGTGGAAGGGCTGGGCAGCCTGGCACCTCTCCATGTAGGTTATCTGGGTGTTTTTCGGTACTTTTTCTTCCTTGATGCTGGCCCCTTTATTCTGGGGGGCTGCTAGACTTGGCTGGTTCTCCTGGATACCTTGAACAAGGTTTTCTGGATGGTTCCGTCACCCTGGCCATGGCCTAGGCTTCCAATTTATTTGTTTTAAACTGAATGTATTTCCAGTAAGCAACACCTTGACAGCAAAACATCTTTCCTCTGGCCTCCAGGGATCTTAGAGTCATTGTCAACTTCTTCCACACCCTTCTAGAGACACTCAATACCATCTGGGAGCAGATGCGTTTTTTCCTCCATTTTTAAATCCATAGCAGCCTTTTTAACCCAGTGATGCTTTTGGAGCCTGGAGGTGTGAGGGAGGAATGAGGCAGGACTCCGAGGCCCTCAGAACAGGGCGTGAAACACCAAATGCTTAATTTAATGATGAGCTGCTGTTGCTATGCCATGAGCACTTAGGTGTATTGTATGTCAGGTCCGTCCTTCCTCCATGCATTTCACTCATTCAAAACTACAGGCCAGGCCCTTCTCCGGGCAGGTGAGGACTGTGCCCTCAGGGAGCACTGCCTGCCTGAGGGGCAGAAAGTCTGGGGGCGGATGGGGGGGATAAAGCAGAACATTCTTTGGCAGGAGGCACAGTCAGTGCAAAGGCCCTGGGGTGGGACTGTGTGAATGAACCTGGAGAGTGTGAGAAACAGCAAGGAGGCCTCTGCGGCTTGGAAGGTGTGAGTTAGGAGGATGGGGCTGAGAGCAGAGAGGATGCTGGGTGCTACCGGCACCTCGAGTCAGCTTGGTGGGCCTCAGTCATCCGCAGAACGAGGGTTTGCAGAGCACGTGTGTGGCGGGGGAGCCCCTCTGGGGGGCCTTGCTGTGGTGCCTGGGGTGGCCAGTGAGGCTGGTCTTGTGTCCCCTCTCCAGTCTGTCCTGCAGCAGCCAGCGCAGCAGGCCTTGCTGCTGGGCAGCCCAAGGGCCACGTCCATCCTCAGCTACCTGTCCGACAGCGACCTGCGGGGCCCTGGCCTGTGCAGCCGGAGTCAGGAGCTGCCTGAGATGGACTCCTTCAGCTCTGAGGACCCCCGAGACACCGAGACCAGCACGTCAGCCTCCACCTCGGACGTGGGGTTCCTGCCCTTGGCCATTGGCCCCAACACCTCCCCTGAAGAGGAGGCTCAGGAGGACTCCCCACCCCTGGGCCTCCTGCCAGAGCTGGTCCACCTGTCAGGAGGCGCATTTGTGGAGCGGCCTGGCTGGAGGGATTTGGGAGTAGAGAGCCCCAACCTGCCACCGGGCTCCCCACTCCACAGCCATACGATGCCGGGCAGCCGGACAGACCACGATGAAGGAGAATCCGGGGACAGAGTGGAGGGGCCTGGGGTGACCCTCGAGAGGCCCCTGCAGGAGGTCCTGGATTTACTGAGGTGCACAGACCCCGCCCAGCCCCGGCTCCAGGAGCTGGAGTACCAGGTGCTCAGCTTCAGGGACCGGCTGAAGGTATGTCCGCTCGCTGGAGGCAGCAGCCCTGCTCTGCAGAGGGTGTAACGCCCGGGCCTGGGCCGGCAGCCCGCTCTCTGCACCACCAGGGTAGGCAATGTCTCCTCTCGGGGCCTCAGTTTGCTCGTCTGTCAAGTGGGGATTACAAGAGCCCTCATTGGGCTGGAAGGGGAGTAGGAGGAAGTGGGGCTCAGAGTGAATAACTTGCTCCACATCCAGCCAGAGCCCAGCAAATCTCACCTGTTCTGACCCGAGCAGGTGAGGCAGCTGCTCGACACTAAAATCCCAAACGTGGGGCGTTCTCACGGCCAGAGCTGGCACCCCCCACCCCGAAACCTCCCTACAGGGCCCATGCCAGGGGCCGTTCTCGCTTGGCTCTCAGAGGTGCTGGCCTGGGCAGATTATGCGATTTTGGGGGTTTACATAAATTTAAAGGTATGTAAAATAAAATGTATCACACCAGCACCTACTTATACATCAATTAGTTTATGAAAACTCACACTGGCGCTGCAACAGCTTAACAGCTCCCGACAAAAACCTGTTCTGTTTCATTCCTACCCCCCACCCCCAACTTCACAAATCAGTGCAGGGGAAAGAAAGGTGGATTTCCTATCTAGTAACTTAAAAAAATGTTCACTGTTTACCACTGCTATGGGCCTGCCTGAAGATTTCAAGAAAAAACAAGAAGAAAAAGAATAGTACCTTTTTTTTTCAATTTCTTAATAGCACTTTTTGGTAGAACAATCTGTCAGGAAGCATGCAGCCTGTCACCTGGAATTTGAGAAATTATACTTTACATAAAAATCTTAAAATCACACTGCCATCAGGCAATAATTTTCAACATCTTGAGGAACTCTTTTTTTGGCAAACCAAGTTAGTAGAATAAAAATGACCACAGGCTATGGTTTTTAGGTTGACTTTTTAAAAAATATATATTTTATTGATTTTTTACAGAGAGGAAGGGAGAGAGATAGTCAGAAACAGCGATGAGAGAGAAACATCGACCAGCTGCCCCCTGCATATCCCCCACTGGAGATATGCCCGCAACCCAGGCACATGCCCTTGACCGGAACCGAACCTGGGACCCCTCAGTCCGCAGGCCGACGCTCCAATCACTGAGCCAAACCGGTTTCGGCTTTAGGTTGACTTTTTAAAGAGAAATTATACACACATGTATGTGTGTGTACGTGTGTGTGTATTTACATACATACTCATTATGCAGGGATTCTCTTTTTGTGAATTCATTTACTTGCAAAAATGTATTTATAGCCCCAGAATCAATGTTCATGGTTCTGTCAGGTGCAGAGTGACAGAAACTTTGAGTCACTGACGTGCTCATTGAACCAGGCGCCGTTGCCGTCTTGTTTCAGCTCCCTCACTGTAGGTGCGTCCCCCTTGCAGTCTATTTAGCGCTCCTTTTTTTATATTTTTGTGCTTTTTTTGGTGACTGATCTGTTTTAAAGTCCCCCAGGGCAGGGCTGAAGTGCTGGCCAGTGTCCTAAGGGAAGATGGCAGTGATGTGCCTCCCGGAGAACATACGTGGGTTAGGCCTGAGTTACATGCTGTTGGCTTGAATTCATTTAGAAAGAAACAATGCATATGAAGTAAGATGTCTTTAAACAGAAACACACATAAGACATGGTTACACACTGGCCGCTGGTGAAAATGTGACCGGAGGCTCGAAGCTTCTGCCTTTCCCCGTGGAGCAACGGTTCCAGATCACAACCCAGGGGTCACGGAGACTTTATAGAGCACCGCGGAGACCGAGGCTCGCACGCATGCATGCTTAAGGCCTGCCACCAGGAGGCTCCGAGGACGGAGCAGGGGCAGCCCAACATGCTCCCCGACACGCACCCCTCCATCAGCCCTGCCTCCAACCCCCTCTCCTTCCACATCTCCCCGCGATCCGCAG